GCCAGATTGCAACGAAATAAAGCGGCAAAATATCCGTTTTTCTTCATATTTCCGTTCTGAGTTTCATTTTCGAGAAGAAACTTTTACTGTAAATAGAAAAACTCTTTTCTCTTTTGTCTACATTTGCTAGCGTTTTTGAGTCGATTGAGCTAAGCCTTAGCCTACTTATCAGAGTAACGGAAATGTTATTTTTGTGGATTGTCTTAATCAAATCATTCAGTTTTAACCGTAAAAAAATTCCTACGCCCACAACAATCACTCGATCGGCCCAAAAACGCTGGTAAACCTAGAAAAGGGGCTTCCCCGTCTACAGTGTATGTTTCGTCTCCAAATGTGAAATCAGAACGGAAATTTAAATAAGGCTTTGCTTCTTTGTAAATTTACCCTGATCACCCTTTGGTATATCGTGTGCTTCCAATGGCTGTTTTTGGGACTTATTATAAGTCTCTCTTTACCGTTGTTCTAAACATCACGAAAATGCCGTAATTTTGCTTCTTTTTGGTTATCGTTCCATCGATAGAGGAATGAGGGGCAGGCCAATCCCCCTACTCCACCCCTGTGTGGGTTGAAACAGACTCACCCTACTCTAGTTCGTCACCCACGCAGGGACTCGATGCGCGTCAATGCACGTCAACAATTTGATTGCTTGTTTCCGTTGGTCTGCCCGTTGATCTTTGGTTTATTGCTGATTTTTCTGGTTCAGGTAAACAAAAAAGAGGCAGTCCTAGTTTCCGAACGTACCTGATCGACAATGAGGCCGAGCTGCAAAGTCTAGAAACAAAATGGCAGACTTTGAATACGACGATTCGACCTTTTACAGTTCGCGTCCTTTAGAAGAAAGATGGCCGCCTTTGGGAGCTGCAGTGGATAATACCGCAGAAAATGGGACAAAAAGCTCTGACTACACGCGAAAGTAAGTCTTATTTCGTAATCCACCGTCTCTAAAGTGATTTCTAATGTTATTTCGCCTTCTGGGAAGATTTCAGTTTCAAAATTGCGCTGAACTTTGCTTTACGATCCTCAGTTCATTATGCGTTTTGCTATTCTAATTTCATGTACATCGATCACTCGCGTTCATTCGTAATTGTTCGTTACAGTATTATTATTGTTATGTCCTTCTTATTGGAAAAAGGTTCAGCGATAAAGAATTTTTACTTTTAGGTTTACATTGGGCAACTAGTTCGTTAAGATAAGAGGTACCACAATGTATTTCAGCGTCTCCGTAAGCTAAGCTTATGTTCATTTTCGCGCCCAGCGTGTTTTCATTGAAAGAACTTTGAAAATCGTGCGATCTTACGTTAGGACCAAAATCTCAAATGAAACGCTCCGATCGTGAATGAATGAGCCTTCCCTCAGAAATGCCTTATGTAGGAAAAAATTGAAGAGTGAATATCGCTTTTTTGACATAAAGTTTCTTAACGCTTGTAGATGTCTTGTCCTTTCTGAATAATTTATAACCGAACATAATACGAGAAAAATCGGTTTTTAATCAAATTGACCCATGCTACACGAGCAAAATAATCACATTCTTCGTGGAATTGCTTCAAGAAAGAGCTCACCGCTCCCTTAATTCTTCGGCTGTTTTACATGTAGGACAAATAATTAAACATCCGCATTCATTCAAAGATGATAGTTATTTTGTTCCTAATATCTCAGATTTCAAACCCGGACATCACTAGACTCCTGTAAAATGACCTTCCTCTGTTGTTTCAAGAAAATTCTTCTTCCTTGTGCAGAAAGTTCGTCTGTGTAATTAAATTATAAAAGGAAAGAGAGTTGGAGAGAGGCTAGGTTGGAAATGAGGGAGCAGTGAATGAAATAAATAAATGTAATGAGCATTTCTTCTGTTTTGTTTTTCAAAGTTATGTGGTATTTTCTTGTAATCTGCCTCTTGCAATATATTTTTTACTATACTGTTTTAGAAATTTGTTGTTTTCAATTGGTAATTGAGTTGTCAACATCTGTGAATTATTTTCGCTCTTTAAAATGGCAGCAAATTTAAGTACAGTCGTACAGGAACCTACAGTTCACCTTTTCACTGATTAGAAGTTCTCAACCTTTGCCTTCAACATTTGAACTTCTCTGTTGCAAGAATTTACACTCCCAGTCTCATATGAACAGCATGTAAATGAACATTTTTCATGGGACCTCCCATAGTGCACAACTCTTCCGGCGGACATTGTTTTTCCTATTTAAAGGGTGTCCCCCTATAGCGGGACTGTGGTCTTGTTAGATGTCAAACTAGAAACCTGCCATCATGTATTCTTTTTATCTTGTATGACAATAAGAGAGAGGAGAAAAAGCAGACTTCACTCTTCTCTATGTATTACTGAAAATGACACAGCAGGTCCAACTACCCCTCAAGTTGATTATCTATCCAAGGCATTTTGTTACATTTAACAAAATAAATTGTGGAATTGTTCAACATTTCAAGGTAATACATGTATATGGTTGAGAAAAGGTTTTTGGTAATCAAAGAAATTTCACCGTAATGTTATGACCATTATGTATGTACACCACTGTTGACACAGTATAGAATCTTTATTATCAAAAGTGAATGTGCAGTGAACACTGTTGTACTTGAGCCCTTCAACACTATCAGTCTGCTTCCTTTCATTCAGCAATGTGTTCCTCAAACTCTTTTTTCATGGGTTTTGTAAATTTATGTACATGTGTAAAGTTTACCAAGTCAGTTTGACTTGTACTTCATGCTCACTTAAAATGCGTGACTTGCCTTTTCAGCACACTATTGAAAATTTTTGAAAGCGTTTCTCCCCCAAGTGTGGTAAATCTATGAATTCTCAGTTCAAAATTAGTGTAAGTAGGGATTACGTGGAGAAAATATTTGACTGTGGCTTTAGGATAAATCGGGTAAAAATATTGTTCTAACCAGATTCCCTTCGGTGAAAAATAATTTCTTGGACATACATACATGTATCAAGTTAGAAAATGTATTTGCTTGCAGTATATGTACAGTGTCTTATATCAGGACTTCATGAATGATACTGACATTACTCTGGATGTTGTTGGGAAGGAAGAGTTCACTAGGTGCTAGTTTTCAGTACGTCTTCGAAGTACCATGTGTATCAGTTTACAAACTTGTTTGGCATGTATTTACATGTATGCTTAGTATCATGTACAATGGGCTGAAATTAGAAACTAGTGATGCATGAACTTCCATACAATAAGAATTGAATAGTGCATGGACTGAAATTATAGCTAAGCTGAAAAGGTGTTAAATATGCTTTGAGGAGTTGTGCAATTCTAAGCAATTTTACAGACAATTTCCATGGTGATGGTTGTTATCCCAAAGAATGTGCAAATCTGACTGAGAATAAAGACAACTAGTAAATGAGTTCTGTGGCAGATATTCAAATGCATTGAAAAGAGGAGAGATTAAATCTCCTAGAAACAGAAAATGAATTAAAATGCTGTAAAATTTTACTGTCAAGGAAGAATACAGTACATGTGCGTGTAGTCCTTGTAGAGTTACAGGTGAGCCCTAGGCCTTGTTTCAGTTTCTATTCAGCTTGCATTCAGTTGAACAGGAATATTTTTTAGGGTGTAGGATTTACACTGTATATATTCAACTGTTCAATTTCCTTTGTTATCAAATGACAGAATATCTATTCTGATCAATTCCTTTTTTTTTTTTTTTTTTTTTTTT